AAAAAACAAAAAACATAATAATATAACAGTGCACGATACCGAAGTTATTTTTTCGCACTTAGCAAATCACTGAATAAAAATACGAATAAGACTGATGAAATGATAATTACAAAAACAATGAAAAAGAATTACCCACCTATCTTTAACTTGCAAAAAATAACACGCTAAGCTGTAACCAGCACAACTCTGTACAAAATTCTGCTGAGCGATAAGAAACGATTCTGAATTCCGTGAACCGAATGATTCCAAAAAATGCGTCATTAATGTTGGCGGTAATTTCGATTCTGATTCGCTGTCATTCAGCGTTAAATTTTTTTTGATCTGAATTTACTACGTTATCATCCAATGATATTATATTACAAATAGAAAGCCAATCAAAAAAATGAACATAAAGTCACTAATTCTACTTTTCACAAAATGAAGCTGTTTTCGCATAACTCCCAACAAGTCGAAATCAATGTTCTCACAATGATTAGCGCATTGAAAGTCAGTGAATGAATTCAAAAATACGATAATTCTTCTATATATACTTCAACGCATAGAAGCCTCAGCCGATAGTAATAGAGATTTTACCGAAGGAGAATGAGAATAGAGAATAATCTCAAAAACTTAGCAAAACCCTTATCGAAATACTCATATTATTGTGAAGATTCTTCATAGCAAAAGCTTATAACATCACCACCAAGGATGGATTTTTGGNGGACGAAGATACAACGGAACCTTTTCTTCTTGCCAAATATTCTAAAATATAAATTCGTTTCTTTCAATCTTGAATGAATCTCACCAATGAAAACTATTATCACAGTGAGATAGATCAGAAAGCAATAAAAACGCACTTTAAGAGTGATCAGCAACTGGTACACAAGTAGTTCTTGTCTGAGGTCATCACCAGTCTTTATGATGACCGGTAACAATCTCCATCTCGGATTACGTCCATACGGTGACGACTCCCTGATCCTCATCTGCTTCTCCTCCCATGGTTCACTCATTTCTGATGCTGACGGATCATCCGGTATTTGCCTCAACTGCAATTCGAACTGTTTTATTATCAAGTTATCTAATGATAACTTAAGAATGTTATTATCACTGTTATTAGTATCAGCGATGTTTAAACAATAGAACACTTAAACACTGTATTAGTTACCATCAGAACACAACTCTCTGTGATGAAATAATGGGTATCTTGGTTAGTAAATTAGATTCTCGAACCGAAGGTACCGAATAAATTCATGAACTACCTGTCGTCTTCTAGGTTTCTTAACCCAGTTCGTCAGTCGTTTTCTAATTTCAGCAGCAATGATAACTTTTTCATTATTATTATTATTTTCACTGATCGGTGAACGATTTTCAGATATCGATTCCATTGATCTTGCATCCAAAGACAATGATGATGCCTTGAAATTCACAGTTCACTTAATGTTTTCATGTAAATTTTCACGGGTTGATCTCATATTTGAAAGGGTCTTTGCATTGCATGATTCACTGGTAACAAATTCAATTATAAACCTTTTCCAGAAGGGTTTTAATGGCATTTTATAACGAACGAAGAAAAGAGCAATATAAAATTTGAACCAACAGATAAGAAATGAATTCTGAAAATGTGTCACTAATCAATGAAACACAATGAATGTATTTTAAAATAACAAACTGAACCGAACGAATGAACGTAATAGAACAAACTCGATGATCACTAAACGACGTGAACGTCGTGTTCGGTAAAGAATTGAGTGAATAGTTCGATCCTTGTCTCTCCTTACGATGATATTCAGCTGCTTCAATATCGCTGATACGATGAGGTATATAACTCGTTCTCATATCGTCTACTTCTAGCACTTCAACATATAAACAGTACGGTGCCTTCAAATCAAACTCTGCTCATTTTTCATACGTAACAGGTTAGTCAATGCAGGTCAGTTGAATGAATTTTTTCTCTACTTTGATCACTTTATGATGAGATTCTCCAAATAATTTAATTGTTACTTCGAATTTTTTTATTAACAAAGTTAGTCCATAACTTCGTAGACAAAAAACTGAAGAATGAATCAAACGAAAAATAGTGAAATAAGGTAACCTTATCTTTACTGTTCAGAACACATCCAGCTGAATGCGGTATCCTTAGAACGATATGTTTAATTGTATCGGCATAGAGTGGCAGCCAAACCCGTGCCGGTAAATTCAGATTTATCTTTATCAGTTCGTCGACGAGACCTTTTGATTTGCCTTCCTTGAGCGGAATCTCTTTCAAGCGATCACCCACTGCCATCAGTGCCTTCACAAACTCTTGTTCTGGTCGAATGCGCTGTGCCTTCAAACATTGTTGCACTTAATCAAACGGTCAAACAAACTTCTCTCACAATATATTTTACTTGAAAAAGGTTACTGTTTGGTTTTTTGTAATTATCAGTGAAAATTTGAAGACACATGTTGTACTCACTCCACATTTGCATTCAGCTTTGTTCAAACAATCCACCTCGTTGTCTTGATCCTCTTCATCAAAGCAAACACATCCATTATTAAACGCTTGACCTGAAATAACTGGTTTCCAGTGATTCGGTTGAATTTTATTTGTGCATTCAAATGGTCAGTTCAGTTCCATATCCAAGTCCTGACGATAATTACCAAACCTGTAGTTAAATCACCGAATGAAAGCGTTTCGGAAGTGTTATTCAAGGGAATACTTTCGGCTCGCCACAGTGCCACACTCTCATTCGATTGATTCCCTGATGCATCCATTGTGTCCAATGCATATACCACTAAAGCATTAACCTTTACCACTTTAAATTGTGCCATAATTTTGACTATTCTTCAGTAATTTCATATGATCGTATAGAAACCATTTCAAACCACATAAAGAGTTGAGTCTATTTGTGAACTATACTTCCCATTGATATACTGTTGAAACAAAAACGAATCCCATCAACATTATCAATGAAATTCTCATTTGCTAACAGCAAGTTCCAATTTCGATTTCTTCCATGAAGCTTTAATGGTGTAAGTCTCTATCGTAACGTTTTCAGTTTAAATAAGTTTTCATAAAGAGGATAAAATTATCGGCTAGAAAAAATTCAATTGTGACTAAAAAATTATACAATCAACAAGTAAGATCCAGATTTTTTTAACGATTGATGAAGTTCCCAAATTTCAGAATTTGCAACAAACAGTACTGAATTCAACTGTTAAATTTCAAAGTTTCTGCAGAATTCTTAAGGCATTACAGTCAGAATAACAGTCAATGAAAAAATCATAACAATTAGAAATACCATGCATGCATTAAAATTGCATTATTAAAATTAAGTAGTAAAACTTTTCAAAAAGTAACTTGAAAAATGAATGACAAAGTTCAACGAACTAGCTTCAGATCGTGATCTTGAACGATCCATCGAACTCTTTGTGGAGAAGAAGGATTTTGATAGTGGATTATTGATCGGCTGATGGCTCATGCTTTCAGAATTAAAATTTAATTCGTTCAATATCAAATTTCTCAGTTTATATCCTTGTGATTTCCGTTTCTGTTTACGCATCGACTCCACTCCATATGCATCCAGCAACCAACAGCATTCCAGTGAAAACACAACACTTTTACGACATCTAAATTACTATCATTGTAATCGTCAGTATTATTACTAGCATTAACATGATCATTACGCTATTATTAATACAAAAACACATTCAACGAAACAAGAATCGAAACCTTGCAACAATATATCGATGAATAACATCAGCAACCTCCTTCATGTTTATATACAAATTAACCAATTGTGGTGTATAAAAGTCAACACTTTCATACGGAAAATCGAACAACCGATTACCTGTAAAATAGCTTTCTCTGGCTACACAAGTATTATAGAACGTACGTTATTACTGCAGTCAATTACTTCATTCAACAATAAGTCCATGTGAACGAATGCAAATAATTAATAAATCAAAAACGAAATGAAAGGATCAAATCAATGACTCAGTAGAACAATAACCTAAATAGTGAAGAACAGCAGCCTCTTTAGTATTGAACAGATACTGCATTGCAATTACCACGGTGAAAACGTCTGATTCGAACAACCTCAACAACCAATTTTGCGGGTTCCTCCCGAAACTTGCTATCTTCAAAATATTTGTTAAACACACGACTGTAAACAACTGGCAAATAATTTTGAATTATCAGCCTAATGAATGAATATTAAATGTATGAAGCTTCAATAATTAAAACGATTTTTCAATTAGTCGCTGAACGACTTACCCTTTGCATTCTACTTTTCTCCTTCTCGCGTTTGTTGTCATCATCACTCTGTTCATCGTCTGCTTCCTCGGATGGTTTTCTTTGCAAGTTTTTCGTTGATGACAATAATGAACCCTTTTGTCTTTGGTTGTTTCCAGCAAGATTACTCTCATCATCGCAATGCCCCATATCAATGACGTTATTAATGCGACAAGTACTCAAAGGATTCAAATTCAAGTTGTCGTCGTTTACAATCGCCTCGAACGCATCATCACAATCGGCCGCTTGTCCATCCCCAGCGCTTCTCGAGCCCAGAGTTGAGCATGAACTTGTCTTCTCTAGATCGAAACACCCGTCAATACCACTACCACTACCATTCATCGATCGATCACCTATCGAAAACTGCACTTTATTTCGCACCTAGAATTATTCAACACTCTCTTATATTCTAAATTTATGGCATGCAAAAATAAATCGAACACAACGCAATATGTTCCGTTAATCACTCAACAATGACACCTAATCGTGACATTTGTGTCGTTCAGATAAAAATTGTTCCAATTAGACTCAATAACGATTAGTTTTTGGAAAAAAAGCATTCCAATTACGGAAACTTTCAAAAGAATCTCTTCAGAGGTACAATCGATTCAATCGATTAGAGTATTAAACTGAGAACGCTTGGAAACAATAATATCAAAATGAATGTAACAACACACAAAACAACGACAATAATTCAAAATTCACTAGAAAGCTTACTAGAGCGCTCACAGATGACTTCTGAGCCTATTGATATGCTTTTCGAGCACTCTGCATTTGCCTAATCCTGAGACTTAGTCTAAGTGCAACCCTAAGCCTTCCCCCTAAAAACTCCTTAAAACGCCCAGTGTTCGGAACTTCTCCCGCACCGCTACAGCAATTCAACGGTTTACGATGCCACTGAACGTGTACATTAATCAGATTTTCCGCTGCTTACGTAAACGATAAACTTCGAATGTATTCTTTTGGAGTGATGTGGAATGAGAGACTGCATTAAAACATACACACATATGCAAATTAATGGTACTTTAATCTGATTCATCGGGTGAGCTGGTTTGTTTCATTCTACAACGTAAACGGGCATAATAATCGCAGTTATTCACATCAGTGAGAAAAACAGAAATTTTAACAGGTTAAAAGAAAATTTGCGAATCGAAAAACCAATTCATTGCAGAAACAGCAACATCACATCAACTGAAAGATTTAAAAACTCGTTGTCAATGAACCGACCAACGAAGTGCACAATCAAGAGAAATGAAACGATCTCTCGCTGTCTGCTCCGTTCAGTGAAAGTCACCCAAATGCAATCAGAATGATCAAATGTCATTGTCAGTGAAGACAATCAAATGATACGCGCCTTTTGACAAATCTTCGATAATATCACTAATTCGACCGGAAATCTGCACCTCTTCAGCATGAAGCACTCATTTTGGTCATATAAATGTTTGATTTGATTGAAGCATTCCGAGTTATCAGTGATCGCCATCTGATCAAATCAACTGATATGAGACGTTTCAAATAACCGAATCAAGCAGACGTATTCGTAAGTGGAAGGAAGGATTGTAGGAAAATGGATCTGATAGAATAAACTAAACGAATTAACCTCTTGTTGTTGTTGCCGTTGAGATGACTCCGGCTGGTTTTTATCACCAACGATGAAATCGACAGTGTTCTGCGCTGATTTCACGATAGCAATTTGCGTTGTCGGTAGGTCAACACTCATATTATTAATATTCATCAAACCATTGAATGATAATTGTCGCGGTTGGTCGCACTGAGACGCTGCTACCTCGTCTGTGTTCAAATTGAACGCATCCCGTAATATGCATCTGTTATCACCAATCAATGTTATTAATTCATTTTGATACTTTACATATTAGATCTCTTGTTGCTCACCACAAATTTCCGTCAAAATGTTTGTAAATAAATACGAAAATCTATCATGAAATCAGATTCTTGTGTTTGGTAAAGTCTTATTAAAATGTGGCAAAAAGAATCGTTTAAGTATCAAAACGTATTCCAGTGTAGGGAATTAAATAAAGACCGATAGAAACAATGAGTCCTTACTCCGAAATGAACATTTGCAAACAAGAAAAGATCAACAATTCCTTTAGAACACACGAGCACTAGAAGATGAGTGAACCTAACCTTGAACAAACTCCTTTCAGGGAATGATTACAATCTGGTGATAACTGTGAAGTCATCATCGAAATACCAGGAATGTTTATGTGACTTATCATAACATCGTATACGCATCACAACACTTCCACTGTGTTGTCACTGCGTTGGTGACTATATTCTGCTTTTTAACAGTTCATTTGAGAACTTACATGCAAATATTGATAATAAGTGATCTTCTTCTATAGCGAACGCAAATAAATGACGCATCAAAATTATCCGATCGAAATGAATCGATATAACGGATTGGAAACGCAGACAGCTAATAGACTTGAATGAGAAAAATTCATCGCTGAATCTCATTGTTTTTGTTCGGCTCGTTGAAGTGAAGGCTTTGTGAGTTCTGTTTGGCTTTCCGCCCCGTTGGATTTAGACTATGTTATGCAGCATGAGTTTTTCATGGCTGAACAAACTGAACGCATTTAGAGGGGGTGGGACGGGAGGACATTTCAATTTGATTCAATTAAATCAGCGAACATGGATTATCCCAACCGCAACAGCATCACACTGTTTCTTTAATGTGCGTAATGAAAAAAAAAGCTACCAGAAAATTTATCAAAATCACTTGAACGATTCATTTGTTAAGCTATTCTCGTCACTTTTGATGTATTCAGCGTTCGCCCTAGCCCTATCAGACTACTGTCATGACGCATTCAACAATCTCATTATTTTTTCTATCCCATCGTTAAAGTTCACTGAGTTGATAAGCACATCACAGAATCATATGCTGACTTCTCACTCAGTCAAAATAAAAAAGTTATTAACACACTAAATTTCCTAATCGTATTGTTTAACTATCGAATGAGATCAAACGAACCCTGTCGTCAAACTTAATACAGCAAAAAACACTCATTATTTGATTCATGATCATTATTAATCATATGTAATTGCATTTCATATCAACAATACTTCGACTGCTAGAGTTCACATTCGATCACATCCTCAAGCAAGAGATACAGCTGTCGAAAGATACACCGCAGTCATTAACGACCCTTCCAGTTGGTGTGAACGTTTGCAAAAGGGCGTGTCATATATTGGCTAAAATACGCACACTGCAATAGATAAGCGCGGCTGCGCATCGCTCGGGCGGACTGGAATGGTTAACATACGGCAAGAATAAAATGACGACCAGTTCATGAATCTAAATATAAGATCATTGGACAGCAATAAATAAGATTAGTAAGGTCACTCTACAATAAAAGTTGGTGAGCAAGCAAAGTACTGACTTTTGGATTTAGTGATTAGAGAGGCGAGGTTTGGTACTGTAGCAAATTCAGTTAGGAATTCATTAGCACTATTCGATAGCAACTGGAGTTCATTGGAGACAAGAATGTTGATGGCAGGGCGATAGTGTTTGTTGTTGTTTTATTCTGCAGGCGAAATAACCGTCTTGGGTGATAAATAATCTACTTATCATTAGGAAAGACCGGTTTTCTCAAGGGTGACAGTAGTGCCTTTGAAGAAACAATATCATATTTTAAGAAGGGTATTGAAGGCTAAATGGGGGGATGTTGAATGTGGTATACATCAGCGTGGTGCAAAATCAGGCGAGAAATTTTCCAGTTGTAGAGCTGGAAAATGTGGTCGGCTCGAAAAAAGTTGGGAGCCGGGCTTTGGGGACGGGGT